AAGAAAATTTTAACTTATAGGTACTAGATATGACAAATATCATGAAAAAAAAACTGCAAGTGATGTTGCAAGTTTATTCAGTCCACAACATAATAGTCAGTCCACAACTTTATAGTCATTTAGTGGTACACATATCTCTTAATTGAGACCATAATTTATCAAGTCATTTACCTAAATATATTAATAGATCATTTTTGAGAAATTGTAATTTCTGCAAAATATTCAATGTCAGGCCTTATAGATATATACTCATCAGCTACAGATTATTGCCTAAGTTATCTTCAGGTAGTCATTGATGGATTTCATTTAAGCAAGATTTGAAATGTGAAACATATCACACAATTAAGTCTTAATTTTATGATCAAGAACCAAGTTATTCCGGTGGAAACACGGTGTTCAGCTTTAAACAGTCCTCACACCAGATATAATCATGAATATTAATGTAAGATTCACATGGTCATGCCTGGTGGTGATGGATGGGAGGACCTTATAAGTAATTCATAGCCTTTAGTCAAATAAATGAGGCCACGGTGAGGGGAATAATATGTTGGCTTTTCAGGTTGATGCTCCTATGGTTTTGATTTTCCTTAAACCACCCCTTTAGCTTGAAATGGATTAGTCCATTTTTACATCTTACACCTGCGAATCAACTGTTTTTATTGGTTTTTTCATTTCCTGTCGAGGTGTAATTATAGTGTTTGCCCCCCAAAATATAAAACGATACTTCAACTTAAAAGTATACAAGCAAGGTTTGAAATACACTCAGTACTTGTTTAATTTGTATAGATTCTTCAATCTTAAATGAAACAAAATCTTTTTGAATGGATAATTCAAATATTGACCCTATCACATTCAGGATGAAACTAGATAAACATGAATTTATACATGAAAAGGTAAATTTTAGGTAGTTATTGGTTATATTGGTATATTTTCAATGAAAAGGTATATTTTTATCAGAAAATTTAAGACGAGCATATGGGAACTGTTGCAGGGAAACAGGAAACGATGTTGTGATTATGACTGGCCCTTCTTAACTTTGTGACAAGTCTGAAGAATAATAGAAGAGGCAACGGTGTTAAGTTTCACCGCCGCCCGATCAGTCCCGCTAGCAGGCTGCCTGGCCCAGCAAAAACAACCGCACAACATCACCATATTTCTCAGATGAGAAATCGAGAAATGGAAATTTTGAAAAGGATCGAGGTATCGATGGAGGGATAGGCTGATAGAGAGAGTGGGAGAGAGAAGGGGAGATGAAGATGAAAACAAAATAGAGAGGAGAGCAAAGCATAGGGTTACAGGTTGATAGAGAAAGGGATAGTTAGATGGGGAAGAATGACAGTAGGGCAATGGTTGAAAGGCATCTTTCCATTGAAAGAAGGACAAAGAAGGAGAAGAGACGGAGAGAGAGTGAGAGAAAGATGGAAGTTTACAAAGAAGACATTAACTTAAACTAAGCAATAAGCAAAATAAAAGAGAGACTACCATGAGAGAAAAGTAGGCATAATGTTATCATTGCTGTTGGAAAAGAAAAAGGGGAAAAGAAAATAGGGGCAAGGGTTTCATGAGGGGCATTATTCTTTGAGAGAGAGAGAGAGAGAGAGAGAGAGATGGAGATGGAGAGGGAGAAGGAGAGAGAGAGAGAGAAAGAGATGGAGATGGAGAGAGGGAAAGAGAGAGAGAAAGAGATGGAGAGAGAAAGAGAAAGAGAGTGAGATAGAAAGAGAATGATGGGGGGGGGGGGGGGGGGGGGGAGGGGCATTATTCCTCTCTGTGTCCTTGCCCGCCTGGGTTTGTTGCACTGGAGGAGCTGGCGGTCGGCAGCGTCACTCGATGTCACGCCGCGCACATCCTCGTTCTTTGAACTCGGCCAGAGTGCAATTGCCGGACATTGGTACGGGCAATCGGTAACGAACCCCGGTATCTGCGGCGAGGACAGTTCAGTGTTCTGTGCTGGGTGTCAGTGCCCAGTCAGAGAGATGAGCGCACTCTTCCGTGATTTCACATCCTCCATGGTGGCCTGTTGCTCAATACTTAGGATTTAAAGCCTCCTTATGAATTAACACATTTAGGTTCCAGACTGTGACTGTGGGGGATGTGAGAAGGGGTGTAGTAAGTGATTGAGAAAGAAGGGGTGGTGGCTTGCCTTCTACCAGGGGAGAAGGATGGGGGGGGGGGGGGGAGGGGGTTATTTGAAGTGATGGTGCAGTCTTCTTCCATATGATTTCAATCTCTCAGTACATGTATTTTTCATTCAAGCCTGCTTTTGAGATCATCTATAGCACACCTGGGTTTTATGGAAGGAAGGTGTATTCGTAAGGGGGTGGCATTGTGAGGCAGGGGAAGAAGGGGGGGGGGGGGGGGGAGTCAGAGGTGGGACAGATTTTTTGCAAATTAATGGGACTTCAATGAGATTAGCTTATGACTTCTCTATTCCAACCCTATCACCAGATTATGATTTTTTTTTCTTTAAATGACATGCAGGCAATCAACAATTTTCTATGAAAAGTGGGGAGGGTTATTAATTACAATCATATTTTGAAACATCTTCCTTTTTCTTAAAGTCTCCCCATATTCATAGTTTAAGGGTTTGAAATAACCTATCATGCCCCTCCCTCCCACTTTAATAATTGAGAGCATGTCAATGGACTTTGGAGTAGTCTGCATGGTTTGTATCATCTGTTGAGAGCCAGAAGGGTGTAAACTCTACGTAAAAGTATAGAAGTGAATGCCCTTATGATTCTCAGCTGACGATATCATCTCAGGACCGATCTAGTTTAATGAGGAAATTGGATCGTGGGCTTGTGTCCTTGGGTGCAATTTTGGGAGTTTCTGAAGCAGCCCTCCAACAGTTAGGCAACTAACTTGCGGTAATCACCCCCTCGTGTTATGGCTCCGCCAGGCATTCTCTTTTCCTTTTAACCATATCTTGTCCCTGCAGGTTGAGTTTCAATTCACACCCCTCTCTTAAGAATGGGACAGCCCATACAGAGCAGTACATCACAGTTGTTTGACTTGCAATATGCATGAAGTAGTTTTTATTCTACTAAAGAAGGGAAATTAATAGTTATATTCCATACTTAATTAACTAATTTGTCTGCTAGACTGCTGCACTGTAGATACTTGTAGTAAATATATATATATATATATATATATATATATATATATATTTTTTATACCTCATTAAAAGATCTAAAGCTACTAAAGAAGAAAAAAAAAGTAGTATGCACTTTTCTGTTTATGTTATATATATATTTTTTAAAGCGATGTACATGTAGCTCACATTAATTAATTTATTATTATTACAGTACATTTATAAATTCAATGGTAATTACAATTTCAAATGATTTGAGAAACTAATTATGCAAATGTACCTTTGAGCCACTATTCATGTAAATGTTCACACTATCTAGATGAACTTTTTGACAAAAAAGCATTATTAAATTAAACTCTGCAAGTAGAATGTATTTTGAATAATGCTAGGGTATCAGTATTGTATCTTACTTTTTATTTCAAAATGAAACAGCTGGCAATCAGAATGTATGCACTCTGGTGATTTGATGGAAATAGAATACTGCATATCAAACTAACAACCACTATAATTGCATTCATGACTATCAAAGCAAGGGCAATATTTTACACCTGCATATCATGCAACATCTGATAGTAATTTACGGTTTGATTATGATTACTATTTGATTATTATTACTATTGATATTACTAGACCATTTTTGTAGTGTAAATAAATTTAATGCACAAATCTTTGTTAAGTGCCATGTTGCAAATTATGGCTTGTCCTACCTCACAACACGTAATAATTGCAATTTGTATTCTGATGTTTGAAATACAATTATTTGTAACAGGAGAATGCAATAATTTGCAACAAGGTACAAAGATTTGTGCATTAAATTGAATCACATTACGAAAATGAACTGTTTCATGACATGGTTTAAATCTGATAAGCTTCCAAATTATGTCATATTTTTCTTTCTTATATTATAGCCTTCTAGTATAGCATTATTTAGTTAACTACACCTAACAGATGCTAGCTGCAAGTACTATTTAAGGGGGTTTGCTAATTATACATGTTAATAACTGCCGTTATATATATTTGCACACACTTCTATCAGATACTCTTTTGAGTGAAATGGTAATGTTCCTTTCATGGGCAATTCAGCATAATAATAAGAAATACAGCAATTGATGTCAGTAAGTTCCAACCATGAGTTGGAAGACTTTATCTCTTTAAAAAAAAAAAGTTCATAAAAAAAAAGATACTGTAATGAACTTTACGAAATTAAAATTGTACCCCCACTTTGGACTTTTCTCAACTTTAATTTGCTCTTTCTTTTTTCTCTTCCCTTCTCTCTCTGATCCCCCTATCCCCTCTCTCTTTCTATCTTTCTTTCTCTCTCTCTCTTCCTTCTCCATCCCTTTTTCTCTCTCCTTTCTATTCCCCTCTTTCTATCTCTCTCTCTCACTCTCTCTCACACACACTCTCTCTCTCTTCCTTCCCCTTCCTCTTTCTCTCTTCCTTCCCCTTCCTCTTTCTCTCTTCCCTTTCTCTCTCTCTCTCTCTCTCCCTCTCTTTCTAATTACCAGCACTCTCTTTCTATGTCCCTTTTTAAAAACACTTCTAAGATACTTGTTTTGTTAATGCTAAGCATACATGGTACATCATATATTTATACATTCAGGCAGAAAGGAGATCAAGATTTAACAGGCTTTTCTTTTCTTTTTTCCCCCGGCTGGATGGTGAAATGCTCATAGGATAAGAAAATTTTATTCACATAATAAAAAACCAGTTGGCTTGTATGTTTTTTTTAAAATTCCTTTTATTTTCATAAATGCAATTCTTCGGCAGAGGTGCCAGAGGCACTATTGTAAATATTGCATCCACTTTGAAATATGTCACTGCTTTTCACTGGGTTTATGATTCCTTCTGGTTATCAAGACTTTTCATCTTTGTAATAATATCTGCTATGAATCATTTTATACCCTAGATACTGAAGGTATACCAGTGAAGAAGCTGGAACAGCTAGCCGATAGGTCCTCAGAACTTGCCTTTGGAAAGGCCGACAAGGGACCCTACCAGAGCTTCAGGTACTTTACTATACTAAGAGATTGGTTTGTTTGTTTTACCTGACTGCTATTAAAGAAAGCATGTGTGCGCTTGTAAGTAAGCAACCAGGGGACAAACGGCTTTAGGTCCTCTCTGAGAGACTCGGTAATGAGGATTAATGCCTTTAATACCAAAGTGCACTAGGGTATGGACTTGGGGTGCGTTTATTGACCAAATTTCTGGCTAGAATCAGGTTTCTCAAACGTCTTTCAGGCAAATTTAGAAGGTGATAAACGCAAAGCCTTTTTTAAAGGTCTTTAGATATGGGCATATCTAAAGAGGCAAAAAGGTGTGTTTTGAATGTGACATACAGCCAGAATCACGTTTCTGAGAGATGATAAACGCAAAGCTGTTTTGAACCCCACATACAAATCGGACCACCCAGGTTAATTTCCGGTTTGGAGGCTAGCGCGCGTCATGTGTTGTGAACATGTACAAGCATGTGTGTGTAGTTGACCTCCGAGAAACTGTCTGCTTCCCGGGTCAAAACAGCTAAGCAGACACAAGGCCTTTATTTTGAATCGTGAAGAGGCGATAAATGTGCCATCCCGCAAATCACTTTCGTATAGTGGGGTTCGATAGTGGGGTATGATAGTGGGGTACGAAATGTACATATCTAGTGGCAAGACCCAATAAACGCACCCTTGGTTTCAAACCCAGGAACTCCCGGTTACGAGACCACTGCTCTACAACTGAGCCATCACACCCTCATGGTGAGAGATACATGTAGTCTGGATTCTGACACTGGAAACAATCTAACAGAGACTTATTGATTTAAAAGAAAATAATGAAAATGTATCAATTTAGAAATGTGCTATCATCAATGTAGTTGATTACAATTATTGGATTTATTCATCTTTCTGAAGGGAATCAACGAAATGTAGGAAATACTTCTTTTTGCTGTTCTTAATTCTACTGCATAAATGTCACATAGGTTCCAATCCTAATGGAATTTTTAAAGTATTAGATGATAAATTGTGTTACTGAGTAATATATAAAACCATTGAGCCGACTTTCATGTATTATGTGTCTTGAAATTATCCACCATGAATTCCATTGTGTTTTTCATGTAAAGAAGGTACTTCATATTTTTCATTGACCGGTCATTTTCTTGTCTTTGTTTTTATGGTTTTCATTATTTATATTATAACAAATTAGATGATGGAAAAAGAAAATTGGAATTAGTCTCATTAAGAGATTGAGCTTTATCCTGTAAATTAATTTTATTGTAAAATCGTTTTTTAACTATAAAACAAATTCTTCTCATACTGTAGGTCTTGCTTTTTGTTGCCTTTCTACAATATAAGAGTGCACTTCCACGTTATGTGCTCTACAAATTTCTCATGTTTCATGTGTAAGAAATGGTATGGAATTATGACCATAATTTCTTGTTTTTTTTGTGTTCTTAGGGAACGCTTGGTAAAAGCCATGGTGATCCTGAACAAGATCAGCACCGCCATGCAGGAGGGAGAGTATGATGCTAACATGCCACAAGACAAGGTAGGCATGGTGGTGGCTGTGGTCATGGTATAATTGGATAATTGTCATGGGGATTTCATTGATAGTGGTGGTTATTTTACCTCACAGCTAAGAAAGCAATAAATGCTTGTAAATAAGCAACCAAAAGACCGACGGCTTTAGGTCCTCTCTGAGGGACCTGGTAATGAGGATAAATGCCTTACCAAAGGGCACTAGTGCATCCCCTTGGTTTCGAACTCGGGTCACTGGATTACGAGACCACTGCTCTTCTGACTGAGCTATCGCGCCTGATGATGATGATGATGGTATCAGGGATTATGGCAATCACATTACAAGATGTTGATGTTATTCTGTTAAATGATGACAGTGCTGATGATTTGGGAAGATGTTGAAGATTGCAGTGATAATGATTATATTAATGATGATAATGATGAATGATGACAACATCAACTATGTTAAATCATGATAGAAGGTTGAATTTGCCCATGTTTTAAATGCTGATAACTGTAATAATTAATTATATATAATATACAAATATGTCATATAGGATGATACTCCACATATTATGGATTCTAAAGTATGCAAGTCTTAAAGAGAGTTGGTAGTCCGTTTCCATGTGCAGTGGGTCATAATTTGCTGACACCAGACTTGGTGGAAATACCATTAATAGGTTTACAAAAAGTCTGCACACAGCAAACCAGTAGTACCATCTAGAAATATACCATAGTTTCTGGAAGAGTCTTCAGGTGAGGGAAGTGTATTAAGATAATATTTTTCCATATACCGGTACTGGTAGGGCGATTTTGGGAAAAATTGCAGGGCATTACGTAAGGCCCATTGGTCGTAGAACTTACAGCACCTGTTAATAGTGGGTAAACACCCAAGTGGTTTGGAATTTAGTACTATGCGTCATTAGTATGGTAGATGTAAAACCTAACAAAAATCAGCCAGTACATATCTTTATCTTCATCGTCTTGTACCCAGGTCCAAGTCCCAGTTGAACGACGTGCATTGAAAGTGAAATCCGAGATCTGTGATGCTGAGGGACTTGGTCACAAGCTGGAGAGCAAGGAAAGCGAGATGAAAGAAATGAAACGACAACTCAAACAAAAGGTATGCATGCTTCATTTTATTAATAAATGTATGTTGATTCTATCCTCTGGCTTACCCCGTCCCCCAACTATCTACCCTCCCCCCCCCCCCCCCAAAAAAAAAAAAAAAAGAAAAAAAAGAAAAAAAGATCACCCATACAATTGCCAAATACTTTATCAATATCATAAGAGGAAAAATGCTGACCTTAATATTGATGATGATGATGATTAATGAGTAGCATTAATCTATTTTTCCATCCAACAATGTATGTGTAGATGAAAAGAAATAAAAGAAATTGGTGTTGATATATAAAAATGACATTGATGATTATGATTGGTGATCGTGATTATCATGATTATCAGAATGAATATATATTCACTTTTATCAATACATGATAATGAGTTTGAGTTGAGAATGAAGATGTTGATTTTCTGTATCCCCTTCTACCCCCCTCACCCGACAGCAAGATGAAGTGAGTACCAGCCAGGTGCGTCTGGGACTGGTTGAGAAGAAGCTAGAGAACGCAAGCCGTGATGCCGAGGACAAGGTCCGGAAGGTGGATCAGAAGCTCGCCGCAGCTCAAGAACAGTCCAAGAAGAAAGAGAAGTAAGATTGATGGATGATTCATTTGAGGCAGGGTTTTGAATAGATGAACGCTTAATGGCAGTGCGTAGGTATTTGTGAATAATTGAAGAAGAATTACCAACTTGCCTATAATCCCCAGCTCATGAAAGAAAAGTAAGATTGATTTATTTATTTAAACCACGGTTTTGAATAGATGAACGCGTAATGATAGTGTGTATCGGGTAGGTGTTTGTGATTTATTGAAGAAGAATTACCAACTCGCCATATCCCCAGCTCCAGAAAGATATAAGATTGATTAATTCATTCGAAGCAGGGTTTTGAATAGCAGAACACAAAGTGATAGTTCATAGTTTTTTTGTGATTGATTGAAGACGAATAACTAGCGTGCCTCATCCCTGTCTCCTTGTCCCCACACATTGCTGGAAAAATGTCTTCAACCTGTTCAAATTAACAAATTTACGGAAATAAGATGCCTTTAAAAGCTTGATTTCAGGTACACTCTATGGTGTGCTTGTTCTCGAGAACTGAGATCCTATGACATAGACTTTAATTGACCAAAACTGTAAAATTTATGGTTAAGGCCTAGACTAAGACATTAAAAAAGCCTCGAGAACAAGACTGACCTTGCTCCTTCACCACTCTTTGTGAGTGTGAAAGTAGAGAAATGAACCACCTATGTTCCTTGTAACATTTGCAAAGCCCACTCCTGCAGTCAGTTTTGCTGAGATTCACAAATATGTAATTTTTTTTGTTTTTTGTTTTGGTCATTTTGATGCTGAGATTTTGAGGCTACCTTAGACCACATTCAGGAGGGACATTGATTTTCTTGAGCACATGCAAGAAAGACAAATAAACGATCACATGTTTTCTTTTATGAAGGGATTTTGAGGCTACTGTACCTTAGGCGACATGCAAACATTATTCATGAAAGGATGAAGAGAGAGAGAGAGGGGGGGGGGGGGGGGGGGGAGGGGGGAGCTGAACATGATAAATAATTTATTTTGTGTTTTCTTTTCTTTCCCATGCAGAGAGTTTGAGGCTACCTTAGACCATATGCAGGTAGACATTGATTCCCTGGAGCAAGAGAAGAGTGAGCTGAAGCAGAGACTGACTAACCTATCCAAGAAGACATTGTTAGACAGCATCACCAGGACCTCACCACAGTCTGGCATCGCTGCTGCTATGTCAGGAGGAACTGGACAAGGTATGAACTCTCAGTTGTCTATTTTCCTCCTCTGTATTCCTTCCCTGTTGTGTGCCTGTCACATATTAATGGCATTTTATATCAAGCTTGACAAAAATTATCTCAAGCAGTTTAGAAATTCAATAGTACATAGTTCAGTCAATTTGACATCCTTTTCAATTGTTTCTTAATTTCAATCATTTTATTTAAAGGTTATATAACAGATTAGTAAAAAATAATGTGTGCGTCATGACAAAGTGTAGTTGGCAATTGATAATTGTAGGTGTACTATATTTTCATTCATCTAATAATATAACTGTAATAGTATATTTGTAAAGCGCTTAAAGACATTGTAGATGTATCAAGCACTATATAAAAGCAGAATATTATATTATTATTAATTAGAAAAAATTGAATGATTAATTGCAACTTGTCATGGCTCTTCTTTCATTTTAAGTTACTAATAGACCAGTTTACTAACATATTCAAATTTATGAATGTTTCTTTCCTGGGGTCCTAGTGAAGAGTTATTCTATTGACCTGTAATACTAATGAATGAATTACAATACTTAGAATACAGTACTTTGAATATATGCATAAATTTGAATATATTAGTAAACCAGTCTATTGATGGTGTATTAAAGTTACATGTAAATTTGTAAAGTTAAAAACTGGAATGGTTTGTTTTCTTTGTACAGGTACAGGTTCACCTACCAGTCCTTCTGCAGGTCCAAGCATTGGAGGTCAGGTCGTGATCAAAGATTCACCCATGTTACTACAACAGGTAAGCTTTAGCTGATGTGGACTGAACTGGACTTAACTGGACTGAACTGATTGACTAAAGCCCAGCGCACTAAACAATCTGACTGCAATTCGATTTCGGAAGAATTTATGATAGCATCTTATATTCACATTTCAAATCTTGTTGACAAAGGATCTGATTAAATAATATAAATAATATAGATAATAATTAAATAATAAAATCTAAATTTCAAGAGATTTCAGGCTCCCTTGGAGGGGGAAAAGCTTAATCGGCCCAGGATCGTAGTGACATCTGGCTAGTAGTGCAATTGTCTACGAGTTGAAGCTGGTTCGGCTTTTATTCTGATTAGAAGGGTTAAATGCACTGAAATTCTGGTTGTTAATATTCTAACCATTATTTAGAACCTAAATCAGAAGGAAAGGGGTTGTTTAGATTTCCTAATCGCCCTTTCTACGAAAATTGGATCGCACAAGAATTGTATAGTGTGCGCCGGGCTTAACTGAACTGCAATGACCTGACCTGACTGAACTAAATTTTTCTGAAGTGTCTAAACTTTACTGAAATTAACTTTACTGAACTGAACGGAAGTAACTGAACTGACTGAATTGAACTGAACTGATCTCTACTCCAATGAATTATGGAAGCTGCAAATTTAAGATCACATGATTTAATCAATTTAATTTGTTGAAGGGTTGAACGAACCAACTCTTCTTTGTAGATTTGAACAGAATAAAAAGATTACAGAGCATCATAAATCCATCTCTGTGTACGGGTGGTGGTTATTTTACCTGACTGCAAAGAAAGCATAAGTGCTTGTTAGTAAGCATCCAGAGGACCGACCATTTTAGGTGCTCTCTGAGAGATCACAGGTGACTTTGATGTAACAGTTATGTTGACATTTGAATACAATTCTCATTAGTTATTATTGATATGAAACGATATATCATTCATATGTTTCTCAGCTGGATACCCTCCGCTATGCCCTGAGACACGTCAAGCATGAGAACAGCCGGCTGAGAGCTCAGAAAATGAAGGTATTGTTTGTATTGTTATTTTCAATATCCTCCCATCATTATATGTCAGTCTGAATCAATGAAGGTGAAGTGTAGAACATTCTATTCTACAGGGACCAATAACAAGAAATTGTTGTATTCTGCAAGTTTAAAATTCCATGCCATGCTGGTGTATTTTATTCATAGAATAGGATTTTAATGTTGTCTATAATGTAATTTTGCAACTTCCTTAGCTTTCAAAATTTTGTGACTCTCTTATTCAATGAACAATTTATTTCACACTCAGCAATTTTGGCAAATTTGTCCTCTGTTGACCCGTAATTTGGAGGTGCGCTGAAAATGAGGTTTTAATTTGCTTTTGTGCAATAATGAAAGGGTAAATACCTTTTAATTCTTTTATATTTGTATTCTACATTCATTCAGTTTTCCATTTATATCAAGTTGTATTTTCTTCGGATAGGGTCTTTAATGTTTTTCTTTCGATCATCACACCTTTGATTGGAATGAGTAGATCATCTGTAAACGAACTCTCTTTATTTCATTGACTATTCTGTCTAGACAATCATGGATGAGCTGCCTCCTCTGAATGTCCCCAAGAAGCCTGTTGGTATCGTCAGTCCTACAGGCTTTGTCAAGCTGGAGACAGAGGCTACACCCGAGAAGGATGAGGACACCAGCAAACTACCCAACAAGGATGTCGCTTACCTCACCAGGAACACTCGCAAAATCATTCAGGTCTGTAGATTTGCTTTCCAAATTCCTAAGGCTATTGAATAATTTTTTAAAATATTTGTATAGATAGGTAACATTTATATGTACAGTTAAGAACTTAATTATTCATACCCTTAACAATTTTGTAATCTAGGTGTGCAAAAAAATTTGGTTTGTCCAACTTTAAGTTTCTTGAGAATGTGAAGTATTAAAGCTAAAAATATTCAACATGTACTTTCTTCTCTGTGACATAATCTTATAACAGAAAAAAACTTATACCTGTATTCAATTATGACATCATTAATAACTTACTTCCAATTTGTCACTTCATTTCTGTCTTGACACTTTGCAGGATTTGCACAACCTTGCAGCCTGCCCTCGTGTGGTTGACATCAGCCATCGTAAACCCGGCACCGTGCCAGCTCTGGAGAAGGCCACACCCAAACACCAGATGGTGGACAGGAGCTGTCGCATCCAGGACATCAGCAAGAATCTCACTCAGGTACCCTTGATCATCGGCTCTTATTTTGCAGTTTTATTTGTTATCACACATTTCAGGTGTTTCCATGACCATTTTACCCCTCAGTATAGCCCAATTCACACATTTACAACCTTAAAACTTTTTTTTTTGATAGCAAAATAAGATCACAGCAAATAGACCGGTTTACTAACAATCTAACATATTCAAATTTCATGCATAGTTTTTAAACAAAGGTTGTTCTTGACAATATGATAGCTTGTCAGAGGCTAATCGCCCGACATAGCAACACGTAATGTACGCAGACTGGATTCCAAGTATTGAAGTTCATTCATTACTAACAGGTTAATGGAATAACTTGTCACTAGGTCCCCAGGAAAGAAACATCCATAAATGTTAATATGTTGGTAAACTGGTCTATTCATGCCCCAAATCTGTATAGCCTACAGATGGAAGAGTACTAGTATGCATTGGGCCTTTGTTGTGGTCGGCTACGTTTTATTTATTGTTTATCCCTACTTGCCTTACAATCATAACACATTAAATTATGTTTTTTAGATGTTTTACCTTGTTGGGTGAACAAGGCTCAAGTCTCATGTTCCACTCTGTACATGTAGTTCGGTACCCTTACCCCTTGCCACATACCCAGATGGGCATATCTATTCTAATGAAGGGTTACTAACATTCTGAAATGTGGGATGGAAGTCGTACAAGAGTAGGGGAAGAAGGGGGTCATCATTTGCATGGAAATTCAATTCAGTGTCTGACTTTAGATGTTAGAGATTAAAATCTCTGTGAAATGTCTTTCAATAGCTGGTACCCCCGATTATGTTTGATTACCTTGTAGATTAAACTGTTAATGTAGATACATCCACATCTCATTTAACCTGTTTCCTGCTCTTTATTTCGGCTGAAAATATAAGTACAGAAACTAGCTAAGCCTGATACTCTTTACACATGGATGTTGTAACTTCCTTCTTCTTATCTTCTCTCTCTCTCTTCTTATCTTCCTATTACTGTCTTTACCTGTGTTTACCTTTGTTGTTGCGAATGTATGTACTATGTTTTTATATAAAATAAGTTTGTGTCTTGTTTATGCTAAGTATTTATTTGGGGCTCATTCTCATCAAGCCAATTTTGGCTTTCATGATTCCCCACTTCCTTTTAACTTATGTTGCTAATGAACAAATATGTGTATATCTTGATGTTTTTTAAAACAGTGAAATAAATAAATGAAATGAAATGATATATCCACATGTCTTTCAAACTGTTTTTGTGCTCTGTATTTTAGCTGAAAATTGAAATGCAGAAGTTGCTGTCATCGCAGAAGCCTGGAGCGCATGTAACCTCCGCTTTCAATCAGTTCACTTCAACTGAATATTCCAAGGTAGGTTTTCAATTTTATAGATTGAAGAATGAGTTACGTTTATGGAACTCCAAATTTGTAGGCAATAGAATTGAGCACACAGCTTCAACTTAAAGGAAACCAAAACCTTCACACTAAGTTACTTTTATTGTAAAGTTTAAAAGATTTGAATAAAATCAGTGAAAATTTGAACAAAATCGGGCAAGGAATAAGGAAGTAAGAGCTTTTTGAAATGACTAGTCACTAGAGGGCGGTATTCAATTTGATGACATCATCTGTGAACAACTCTCCATGCCTTTTGTACATAAAATTTCACAATTTTTTTGTTTTCTTCGTATTTATTTGTGTTCTTGATCCGACTTCATAACATGTGAAGTAGAATATCATTTTGCATTCTATATCTTGATTTCGGGGGAGTACATTATCTCAATCACAAGAAAGAAGGAAAAACATGAAATTTGATGTACAAAAGGCATGGAGAGTTGTCCACAGATGATGTCATCAAATTAAATACCGCCCTCTAGTGACTAGTCATTTAAAAAAGCTCTTACTTCCTTATTCCTTGCCCGATTTTGTTCAAATTTTCAATTATATTTTTCAAATATCTTAAACTTTACAATAAAAGTAACTTAGTATGAAGGTTTTGGTTTCCTTTAATGAGAAAAAAAAAATGTTGAATTTGTATGCCAATGTATATGAACAACTGAGTCAATTGCCCTATTACATCTAGATTTAGTTAAAAAAATGTGTATTCCAGTACCTAGTACAACAGTATGAGTGATACAACTGTATGTAGTACTTTAGAATAAATTTCTAGGTTATTAGATACTGAACATTAATCATCAATTACATTATCCCACTTTGGTGACCCAACGTTTTACTCCTGGATTTATTACGGTAGGTCAAAGATATAGGGTCACGTTAGGGTTCAGTTTAGGATTAGGGTTGGGTTTAGTTTGATCCAGGGTTTGAGGATGGGAATTTGATTATTGTAGGAAATTGAATATGGAGCAGACTGGAATGTACATTTACATGTATGTTGTACAATCATGTGCATGTCAGTCCTTGCCATAAAACTTTAAACTGATCTGGCAAAATATGAATAAGTAATATGTATATGTACAGTCAAACCTGTCTTTAATGGCCACTTCTCCATAATGGCCAAGTATTTCATCTCCCTTGAGAAAGAGATGTGTGTTGTAGAACCTGTCTAGAAAGGCCAGTTGTCTACAGAGGCAACTTTTTCTGTTTCAATTGAGTGGCCTTTATAGACAGGTACCTTTATAATACAATCATTGATGATGATCTCTTTCCCTCTTTTCTGCTTCAGGTTCAAGAGGAGCAAGGCCAAGCGACCAGCCTAGGCCGAGTCTACATCCCTCTACCATCCGGGCAGCAATCCGCATCTTATTCTCTCAATCTACAACCCCATCAGCTCAAACAGCTGTATGCCAGGGTTATAGCAACATAGAGCGTGTAGTCCCACAAGCCACTTATAATGTGATGTTCGTGCATTTATGTGTAGTCCCACAAACTGTCTATTGTGTTAAATTATATATATATTCTCTCAATTTACAACCCCACTAGCTCCAGCAGCTGTATGCTAGGGTTATAGCGATATAGAGAATGTAGTCCAACAAGCTACTTAAAATGTGATGTTACGTGTATGTATGTGTAGTTCCACAAACTGTCCCTCATGTGATCATCCCTAGAAAAATGTTTGAAAGATTAACAGCTTTTTATTTAAGGTGTCGGGGTAGCGACCCATCTTCTTAATATCTTATGCCCTCAATCTTAATCTACAACCATATCAGGTGAAACAGCTGTATGCCAGGGTCATTATGGAGTACATATGTAGTCCCATGGGCTACTTATAATGTTATATTACATAGGTCCCACAGACTACCTTTCATGTTATATTGATTACATGTAGTCCCACACAATAGCTATCATGTTGTCCCTTGTGATCATCCATCTCAAAATCTTTGAAAGATAGCCAGTTTAGTCCTATTTAGATTAGAAATATTTATTTAAGAGGACAGGGCAGCATTCAACTTTTTATGCTCTCATTCCAGTATCATGTCAGCTGAAGTAGCAAGTAGCTATACATGCCAGCATCAGCAACATAAAGCAAACATTAAATGCATATTTAGTCAACATGTTGTGTTTATGTAGTCCCAGTGACTGGCACATTCGTTAGTTTTTTAGATAAATCCTCTCACAAACAGACATTAAAATTGTCATGCTGAATAACTTCAATTAGGTGTATGTATGTCATGTAAAATTAAGAGCTTTCTGTGTATGTGGTCAAATATTTCTAAGCTTTTTGGAGTGCAGATGCATAGCTATAATGAAGTATGTGCATTATAAATGTCCAATTGTTATTATGTAATCTTGTAGAATAAATTACAATTATAAACAGTAATATATTGTTGAACCGATCAAATGATTACATTTGGTCAGATTTTAGTTGTGCAGCACTCAGTTTGTTTATGCCCTCTACACATGATAGCTTTCTAACAGTATCTGACCAGTCCTTTATTAGTATTTGTTAAGGTGAATATAATCGAGGAACAATAATTCAGTGGAAGGAAGACATTTTTCTTTTGGAACGATGCAATTCTTTTTTTTATTCAAAAGGAATGTAAGGAATGTGATAGTTCTCCATCATTCCTGGGGGAAAAATAGTTGAAAATTACCCCTGTTTTATGGTAAATGATAACACCTGAAATGTGTGATAAAAAATGAAACCGTAAAATACGAGATAAACCCTTTACTGGGAGGTTCTTGGCCTTATCAAGAAAAAAATTCTCACAATGCAAGGATATAAAAATCTTAAAGTGAAATCTATGAATAGGTGTTCCCAATAATAAAAAGCTCTCTTAATCAGATATAATTTTGAATGAATAGATATTCCCAGTGATATCTGATGGGGAGAGCTTTAGATACTGTTAAAGGTCACATAATATTCTTTCTATAGAGCTTCAGTGAATAGGTATTCCCAAGAGTTTGTGAAAACCTCTGAAAATCTTGAGGCAGCAAAATATGCTTTACAATTTGTTTAATATTTAAAACAACCTACTATTTGTAAGATTTATTGGAAACTTGTAAGGTGAGCAAAATTCTAGTGTTACCTGTCATCAGATCATTGATCATTATTTGACAATGTATTCCTCTATTTGCATTCAGTAATGGTATTTATGTACTGAACATACCGTACTGTATTATTACATGTATTATTTGATCCTGAATTGTAAGCCTTTTGGGAGAGAGCTTTAATCTTTGTTTTTGGCAATTTCCCCAGATAACCCTATTTGAAAGCTTAGCAAATTATTCCAGCTGATATTATTTCTGATTTAATCCATGTGGTTTTTATCAAGTCCTGTAGTACCGGTACTTGTTTACAAGTATTTGAAGTGTGCAATATGGCAATCCTACTATATACAGGACAATTAAACTACGTGTATGATGTTGGAAGAATATTATTCATGTTTTTGTATCTTGCTTATTTTCCTAGTTAGAATTTTGTCAATATACATGCAGCTAATTCTGCTTTCTTCTGGGTGATGAGAATCATCATAGTCGGAGGTGATCGATCTGATACCAACTTTATTTAGAGTAGCTATAGACATACAGGTTCATGTAGCTTGCTATGGCTATCTTGCACAAGTATTATAATCTTATCTTTTCATCTCACACTAAGATCTTTGGTGTTGCTTATTGAGGGCTTAGAATCAAATAAAAAAAATTAAATTCTCAGAAATAAAACAAGAAATTCTTTTTTTTGATAGCTATAATCCATTTTCAACAGTAATTCTAGATACCAGTAATTCGAACTAATATGTCATAATTATTTTAAGATAAAAAAAAACATTTAAATAACCTTCTTGCCACTAAAGTGAATTGTTGAGCTCGACTGGTAGGATTGATTATTTGCTATGTGAATGGTTATTTAAAGGCTTAACACCTGTATAAAGGCAAGTAATTTAATTAGAATGTGTACCAGAAGATTGTATGAATTCTTATAAAAGATTGCATGCTTGTTTGCTTGATTGATGGAAAACAGCTGTCACCAGTATTTGAAGAATAAATGCTATTCCCTGCAGCTTAAACTGACTAAGAGTATCTTGTGTTTATGTACATGTATTGCGGTATAATATTCAATATTCTTGATGAATCACCATAAAGATTACATTTGACATTTTCAATTGAAACTATAAGTGTTTTATGAGTGTAGTATAAGCAATACTTTTCAAGGTGGAGAAACTGAATTGCAGGTATATTTTTATAAGGTTATACCATGAAATTATTTCAAATTGTTTTAAAAAGATTTACAAGGTTTAATTATAAAAAATTTGCCTAAAATCGATCCATTTGTTCATAAATCATAAACTCCTGTACACACATACAGCAACTTGTGCAAGGTCAAATTAACTGCTTTTGACAGAGAACTGTAACTCTCTGTTTAGCAAAGGCGTGAATCCGATGACTGGGGTAATAATATATCTGTAAAGTGCTTTGAGAGGGCCTTCAGTCCTGAAAAGCGCTATATAAGAACTAGCTATTAGTATTATTATTATTAACAGCAGCACTGTATTGGTGACAAATATTTTCAATATGTGTCATTTCCTTATCCTTCTGCATTTTAATAATTTTACAGAGAGAAAAAATACATTATATCTTGCATACTCTATATTTTACAGAACAACACAATGAAATACAGAGGCATATTTCAAATGCAGTATCACTCAAGCTTTTTATTTGCCAAAAGCTTTAATAGATGAATGTACAGAGCAAAAACAAATTATATAGGTAAAAAAAGTAGCTTGACAAAGGTATAAAAGATGATACACAAGCTTCTCCTATAATGGTTAATAACAACCAGGGCCTCCCTTTATAATCAAATTTGTCACCTACAAATGCCAAATTCTGTAACAAATTTGCTCATGGTCAATCCAATGTAATAATTTCAGTATCTGATATCAAATAACGTAACTTGTCGATGATTAGACATTTTATGAAAAGAGGCCTAGCTGATAGATTGCATTGCTTTGCTCGATGTAGGAATAAGATTCAGATCAGCGAGACCCAAAACTTACACAACAAATCGTACACAACAAATCGTAATTGCTCCCCCTGTAAAATGGACATAAGTGTACCAGCATGTATTGCCAATTTTAATGTCCTTTGAAGTGACGAAATTGCAACAGTAGGCCTCGGAGAGAAGCATCCGTAAATGTCAATAAATTGAGGCAACTGCTTAACTACTGACGACATACAAGTACTTTTACATTTAACAATTCGAATGACAAGTAATTAAACGTTTCTACAAGTGCATCAATTACACAAGACAAAATTGTACATCTGTAGTGATTACCCTTTGAATTATTTTTCATTTAATTAAAGCAACAAACAATTACATGACTAATTGAATAATGAATAATTTCATTGAGGGACAGAGAAGATGGAGTGTTTCCAAGTCTACCAGTAGGATGAACCAAATCAACATCCAACAAACGACCTATGTAGCTATTTCCATACACCCAAATATAAATGCAATGTCATCAATATAACAAGCTATACTAACAAATACTGGAGCGCTGTATAAACGGCAGCTAGGCTAAAGCCGGGGTAATAATAAATGCGCCTCGGAATAGAATTATCTAGATAGACGGCACTATAGAAATGCCTATTATTATTTATTATATTACCCATCTTGTTTCAACACACAAAATAGCTAAAATTTCAATTTGTCAAAATCTATGCCGACTTTTTTTTTTGGGGGGGGGGGGGGAAGGTGTATTATCTTTTTAGAGAACCTTTGATAATATGCTATCCAAAATATATTTTGAGTTGTGCCTCATCTCATATTTCAAACACTTTTAACTTTCTTATAATTGGTCTGACTAATGTCAACTCTCGCCATTCTATTTCACGGATTTTTCCGCTTTCATGCAAATGAAATTATTACAAGGGTTAACAGCCCTTTAAATCAATCTAAATCTGGAATGTGTCAATATTCAGAAGACGTAATCATGCAATTACCTTCATGTGTAAGGCATATAATATAAATACATAATTTCAATAATTAAAGTACCATTACAGTATAATGGTGCAATAAAAAACAAAGCTACACAAAGCTTCTAATGTACACAAAACTTGATATACTGTGACTATTATAAACACTAGCTAACTGTAAATAAATAGATAAAATATGTTATTACCTGTACCGGTAATAATTTTTCTATAATCTGGTATATACCACTGCAGTAATCTTTATTTGATTCATGGCATGCATCTACAGGCAGGCTATACGCAATTACTGTATATGCAGCACAACATGTATATAATACATGTATATATGTTCATCTCACTTTATAATTTCAACTTAAGGAATATAATTATCTTTACAAAAGATGAAAAGTGGATATTTATTTTATTCACCCTATTTCTTTAAATATATTTTTTGAAATATAAATATTAAATTGTATCCTTCCTAAAACATGAGACAGTCCTTGATGAATATATTTACATAATTTTATTTGGAAATAATTGGTGGGCCGATGAAAGAAATTAAATTGGTTTCAAAATACCAAGATGATGATGATGACGATGATAACACATACAAATATGAAATGGAATATAAAATAATAAGAACTATAAGAACTAAACATAATCTGAAACATAAAAAAAAAACTAAGAGTCACCAAAAAAAATCAAAGGCAAATCTAAAGTAATCATGAAAATATTTTAAAAAGCTGCATTACAATACTATAATAAATGTCAAAAGAGTGGGCTAAAGCTTATTTTGGAAAGGAGAGAATAATCATCTTTCAAGAGGCAAGAAATTAAAGTTTTTTCTGAATATTGATGGATCTCTCTCCTTATCTGCTCTCAAATTCTTGACAATGTTCCCTCCTCACCTGAAATCCTCCATAAAGGTAGAACCATTCAAACATAGTTCAAAGATAATATCTATTCTGAAACCATATGCATTCCTCCAGCTCTCACTGTCACTGATCAATAACTTGTATAAATAGTGTATTTTAAATTGAACGCTGACCAAGGGATGACATCTTGAAGCACTTTCTTTCCAGTCGAAAATATGCTACATACACATGCCAACTATTTCAATTATTATCATACATGTTGCTTAAAGGCCCACTGCACTACTTGTAGCTACTTGCGCCCTCTATATAACAAACAATGCCTAATCGGTTACCATTGGTCCCCCATGATCCTCTTTTTCTTATGTTAACGGAGAGCTGAGCTGATGAGATAACCACCTGTCCAGTGACCTTGCAGGGCAGTCTAATCCCTCCTGTAAACTACGGCAGATAAGCTTTAAACAACAACAACAACAGCAATGTATTGAGGGGTTTATATTACAGCATCTGAACATAAGAGTCATAAATAGGATAGGCATGCAAGCTGAGTCATTCCTGGAAAAATGAGTGACAGGAATATAGTGTCATTGGTCACATATCTATACCTGACTAAATGCCGTACATTTGAAATCTAACGAGTCCATTAAAACTGAGCGGGATGAAATCCCCATCATAACTATCTGCACGTAAGCAGTTGGACATAGGTGCAAGTATGCACATTTAAGTTGGCTGAGGTACTGTGCCTTGTCAAAATACCAAATACACCAAACTTTTAAAAATGAAGCAAATTGCAATTCAAATTTTCTGAGCCATATAAATTACATTGCTCATGGAGATGGAGGTATAATATGGTAGACATTGTACAGGGAATGTTACATTTACATGATTTATACACTTTTCATTTTATTAGTCATTTTATTAGTCATATCCAACACACATCGGCTTCAACGTTCATGACTATAATTTGCACTTGGCACTTAATTTATATCATTTCCTCCTATCTCCCATTCCCTGTTCACCAACCCCTGACCCTCACTACTATCATTGCACATATATTAGGGTCTGCTCAGTTAAGACTATTCAATTTCATGTCCCTCTGATCTCACTGATCTCTACGTAGAGATCAGTGTCTGATCTCCTCCAAGTAAGGAGGTAGTCTATATCCAGACTCTATGAAACCCATTCTCATAGCGACAGGGAAAACAAACTCTCTTCCTTACACCATCAAGTGGAATCCACATTGAATATTTAGAAAAAAAAGAAAAAAACATTGGAAATATCCGGCAGCAGGTGTTGACTAGGACCACAAGGACAAATAACGAATGATTGATTGTATAACCCTACATACCACATCCTTCCTGCGATTGTACACAAAAGCCCTGCACATGCAATATAATCATGTGAGCTAGTTGATAAGAAACGATGACGCGGCACGATACTTTCCATCAATTTTGCCTAGCTCCAACCTCTAGATCTGAAACATGCATTGATTAGCTAATCAAGGTGATTGTGGTTTGTGCGATAGAAATACATGCCCACATTAACCCACTGACTCCTGAATTCATTCATTCCCATAGGCTTAATGCAGTAGCCACCCGGTTCCTGTAGGCGCAAAGAGTTAAAACACAGAAGCGAATAGTTAGAACAGTCATTTTTGGCAATGTTTTTTTTATAAATATCTTGTTCCTACATGTAAACTGATCCTTCCATTGGGTGTATCATTTAAACAGGTTGTATCCATGACAATCAGAAGGTGGGGGGGGGGGGGGGGGGGGGGTAAATTTTCACCAAAAAATTGTTTTTACAAGGAATGTGACATGGAATATCCTGCTAGCTCTTTTCAGGATCTCTCTACAAGAGAAGGGGGGGGGGGGGGGGGGTTGATTGGAGCAAAACAAAAAATTCATGGACAAATTTAAAAGTGATTCCAGGAATCTTAATTGCTGACCATCTGAAGCTACAAAATGAGTGCCACTGGACTCCCCCTTCCCCTAATTATTAGCCTTTGAAAATCATTTGTCATGCTTCTCTCTCAATATGGGGAGAAGGGCATGGAGCACCCCCCCCCCCCCCCTCCTTTCCCCATTTGCCTATAACTCAATAAAGTTATCATCATTCTGTCAGGACTAAAATGGATTTGTACTGAAGCTCTGATATAGTTGGGTTGCTATTAATCGGTCATCTGGTTTAGTACACACAATGTACATAAGATTAAATCTTGTTACCACTACAATAAGCACCGACATGGCCAATATGCACAGCAGCTGAATGCATGCATGGCAGCAACATATGACATCATAAAAAATTGCCATTATCAGCTCAAAATCAATTGAACCCCAGGGTAAAGTTCAATGTCAAAGCTTCAGCCTAAATATTTTAAACAAATCTCATTTCAAATTAACCTTTTAATATACAATACTACCCCCATTAGGCCAGAGCAGAGGTGCCTGAAGGCCTAGTCTAATCAGCAAAAAATCTAACCAAATATTTGTTGTTAGATATAAAAAGTTATACTTGTTGGTTGCTGCTACGCTGTGCTCTGTTTGACCAAAGAGCCATGTCCAATTGGCACACTTTCAACCAAATACATATAACAGGTTACAAAGAATCATAGAGACATACATCCTACAAGAAACTTCTTTTACCAATGTTTGTTGGAAATATGTACAGGGAATATGTTTTTAAGTGTAAATTTATTTTTTGCAGTATTTCATGTGGGATGAAATCTACATCCTGAATAATATGAGGTACACATGATTTCAATTGATTTTACAATTTTCAAGGATTTCCCATTATTCTGGGTATATAGGCTTATCTGCAAACTAACTGCAAAGTATTAGAGCAGCCAATAAATTGTGCCTAAAAACACAAAGGCTACAGTGTACATATACGTAAGATATATTGAACATACATTGTACGATGAGATTAATCGCAGAAACAAAACTGTTCTCATTTCCCGGTCTTGCTCTTGGGAGGCGCGATAGCTCAGTTGGTAGAGCAGTGGTCTCGTAATCCAATGACCCGGGTTCGTAATCTAGTCGATGCGCTATGCCCTTTGGTAAGGCATTAATCCTCATTACCAGGTCCCTCGGAGAGGACCTAAAGCCACCGGCCTTCTGGTTGCTTACTTACAAGCATTTACAAGCATTTATGCTTTCTTAGCAGTCAGGTAAAATAACCACCAATAACCAACTTTGTCTTTAATTATTATCCCAGTACGTGTATGTGGACAGAATTGAGCAATAGCTCCAAAATATAAAGTACAATCTTGAAGACATTAATGAAGCTGGAATGTTTGGGCACATTTTATATATAATGGGTCAGAAAGAAAGCACAATATTATAAAAAAGGCACATAGTTTAAAAAGTTATAAAGAGTTTGAGACTGATTGTCATTTGAAATGCAGCAAATGATATAGCACAAAAAAAGGAAGAAATTAACGTTATTATATACCTATTGCAACCCCAAACCTAACCCTACACTTTTGACAAAATAAAGCCTGGTGAAAAAGTCAGATCATGGCCCCAAATTATTCAGATTACTGTTATTTAGGCACATTAATTTTTCATAACTCTTTCCACTATGTCTTGAATCAGACATAATTTATTTTATATGATGCAAACTTGAAGACTTGCAGGAGGTAGAGGGTAAAAATTGTGTAGGGCTTACATGTAAAATCTTATTATGAAAACACGTGAAAACATGAAATTATGATAACATAGATGACATCATCTATGTGCATATAAAACAGCCCTGGACAATTAGGAGTGCAAAGTACAAAAGGACTTGTCAATATTTATGTACATTAGTTCCAGTTAAAACAATGAATAGCTGTCAAGTCATAACACGTAGTTTCTGTATATAACGCTACAGAGAAGAAAGTCATATATCCTTTTACAGTGTCAGGTTTTCAATCCTATCAAGCACATCAACGGAAGTTCTCTTTGGAATGTTCCCATCATCCTTGACCGTTGGCTTGGGCGTGGCGCGGAGCTCAACATCCCTGATGATGCGCTCAGCCTCGCGCTGACCCGACAGCATTGCACCATGGGTAGTGGAGTAGAAGGTACGATGGGTCGCCTCTCCGGCAAAGCAGATCTACATTTGGAGGAAAAAAACAAAACAAAGGGCTGGTATTCATACATATGTAAGCTGAGCTTACTAAATTAAATCCAGGTTTCAATAGGTAGATTTAATCCACTAATTGCTTATGGCCGCACAAGTGTCAACTTCCTCATCCCATAATGTTATCATGATTCGGTAACTGGGGGGGGGGGGGGACTACATGTAGCTCACCCACTTCCTTCCTGCACTCTTGTTCCATCCCCAATTATTTGTAAATGTAAAGAATATATATTTCTATCATATTAATTCATTCTTCTACCAGTTTTAGAACTCAATTAGAACATTAAAAATTGTTAACATATATATAGTTGGAGTACCAACATTACAAATTCCTACGAATGCTTGTTATGGGCGATTCATTTACAGAAATCATCAAATTAATGAGTATCATACTGCGCCATTTGATATCTACAGCTGGAGGTACCAGCAGTTGTAAGCATATATTGTACATGTGAGGAAGAAAAAGTGTGTAGAAACCCAATTTTAATTATATAACAAACAAAAAATCAACTACACTGTGTGCAAACTTGACAATCACTGTCAAAATATAAACTGTAAATTATCTTTAAAAGACTATGACATTTATTTTGATTGAAAGCATGGTAGATACATTGTTAGTAGTAAATAAAAAGCCCTGCATTCACAAGTGACATCATACCTGAATTTTAACAGGCAGCTATTAAAAACATGTACTCAGTAGATGTCAGAGCTTCAAGATTGGGAATTGCTACCAGTACATTTGTGATATTTTCAGGCAATAAAAATGTAGGCCTCGATCTGCTTACTTCTGATCTGAGTAAAACGGATACTATACAACCATGAATGTGAATGATGCTCTCCATGAATAATTTCATATTTATGTGATGTAATGTAATATCACGTAATCAGTACCAGATAATTTACATAACATGGTATGCTGCCTCATGCCATGGTTAAAAGTGATTGAATTGGGAATTGTAGAGGTTGTTTTAGAGTTGCATTGTCAACAGCTGTGGTGTATAGGGAGAGTCCCAAACAAGGCAATCAGCATGGTTCCCTGACACAGATGTAATTACATATCACATAACCTCATTGAAAACAAATTAATAAAGCATGATCGACAATACATGTTAAGGTTACAGGATAAATAATATCTTACAAGTATTCTCCAGGTTTTATTATGTCAAAGATATACACTGTAGGGTTGTGGTTTTGGGGTGGTGGTTTTGGGGTGGTGGTTTTGGGGTTGTGGTTAGGTTTGGGGTAAGGGCTTGGTATGGTGCTCGGTCTAGGGCTAAAGGTTAGTGTTCGGTAAGGCGCAGAGCAATCGTCGCCAGAGTCATACATTCTTCCAATTCTCTTTCATTATTTTTGTGCATCCCTCTGCCTATTTTGTTATATAATGGCGTTTATTGTAAATATGAATGTAAATCAAATTGGATATCACATTGTATTTTAGTAGAATTTAACTCTCTATTTTCATGTAGTATGATGTATATTTCATGTTATTCAGGTCTTGAGCAGCAAAGTGGTTTTTTAATAAATACCTTTCAATTCAATACAAATCAACTTTCTTTTAACTGTTCATTCAAAAAAATAAAAAATCTTAAGAGAAACAAATCTATTTCTGGACTCATTATGACTATTATGAGGTATAGCGTAGAGGTATCAAGTTTGTTTGATAGTTCTTTCAAATCAACTTACAGCAGGTTGATCAAGGCCATTCTTTCCAGGAACATACACAGGTTCAGCCAAAGCATCGATATCAGCACCACAGGACCCGGCTGCAACATAGGAGTACGACCCCCTCACATAGGGGTTGCTGTGCCATTGTGTCTTGTGGACTTGTTCAGGAACCGGTATGGTGGGGTTTTTCAGGAACTCCCGTAGAACCCCTATAGAAAAGAGAAAACACCAATGGATAATTCTGTAAAATGCATCCCATATTATTAATCATAGGGAACATACATGTATGTATTTCACAGAATCACCAAAGTACATGTAGGTTCAGGAATACATGTATGATCGCTTAAAGAGAAAATCAATTCACAAATACCCTTGAAAAGGGCATACACCTGTATGTGTCCTCTTTCTAGAAGAACAGTCTTCTAACATAATATATGGTAGTCAGGGGCAGATCCAGGATTTTCTAAAAGGGGGGGGGGGGGGGGGGGGGCGTAAAATGTATGAAATTGCGATTTCAATAGGAACACTGTTATTTTGCTCTGGTTGTAATGTTATGAACCCGGCCCCCCACACTCAAAGGTCGGAATGACCGCATGCGTGTGGCCAAAATGTCCGGTAAAGGGGTATTTTTCGTGCGACAAAGTCCGGCCCGAGAATTGTAAAAAAGGGGTGTATTTGACTTTCCACCCTGTGATTTCTTTAAAAAGGGGGTGTTTTTCTTTTTTTTCTCTCATCTCTTTGGACTCCTGAGAAATTATTCCGAATTTAGGGGGGTACATTGAGCATTTTTCCTGATTTAGGGGGGTCTCCAAGGCAGGAAAAGCCCGCGAAAGGGGGGTTTGGAAATGTTGGCAGTCCTCAGATAGGGGGTGCTTTTAAAAAGAGGGTACGAGCATATGCGTACCCTAAATAACACTGAGTGGGGGGGCCGGGGTTATGAACCAGAGCAAAATAACAGTGATTTCCTATTGAAATAATTGAGATGGTCATATCTCAGCCAATACGCAGCATATATATTCAATTACTTTATGACATTTGGACATTATTTTTAATGCTCTTTCAAAAAAATAAAGTTCAAATTTGGAAAATCTAAAAAAAGATTTTTTATGGCATCACACTTTACATCTCTATACTACAGATTATGGAAAAATAATTCAAATTTTGACAACATTTTCTCACCTGTCAGAGTCTTGGCTATGGTGTCATTATCCAGAGTCTCAATGTACTCAGCTGATCGACCATACATCCATACCATCAACAGCTTGGGCTTATCTTGGATGCTGTGAATAGCGTAAAAGTGTTTGTACCATTCCTTCTGTTAAAGTCAAAGTACATCAAAAGAAAATGGAAAATCAACATTACACCACAAAAATTGGTACTGAATTGAAAAAGGCACTTGACAAGAACAAGGTATGATAATGCGCCAATGGCAGTCTGTACTGTACTGGAAAAAGAAGAAGAAGAAGAAGCACATTTAATTCTAAAAATGTTATACCTCTACACCTAGAGCATTATCAGCATATTGGGAGGGAGAGTGAGGTGACAAAGTTTGGTCATTTTTTTTTTCAAGGGAGGGGATGGGGGGGGGGGGGGGGGGGGGGGGGGTGACACCCTGTATCCTGAAAGTCAACTTGTTCGTAAAGTATTAAAGTATACAGATCTTTATGTGTATTATATGTAATACTTCTTTTTGATAAAGTTTGGTGCATGAGTTAGACGGGGTAAACTTAATCAAACTTGTGGGACCATTTTTCAGGGGCTCTGGGGGCTAAAACATGATGTCCACAGTAAGGCTGACAATCTCTTGAACATTGAATTTCGATGGTCTAATTAACTTGAAGGGGTCAAAACTTATGACCTTAGTGGGGGTGACTACAGAGTTATCAGTGAATAATCAAATTTAATAGCTGGTATATGTGTATATATCAATGACAAATCCTTTAGATATATGTTAAAGTCCTTTAACACATTGCTACTTTTGTAATCAAATCATTTCCCCCCTCCATATCACTAATTTTGTGTTTCATTTAATGGAGTTAGTTTTAAATAGTTGGGGTAGGTTTATTCTAACATGTTTTTGCTGTTGTTGATTTTTTCTTCTTCTTGATGTTTTAACAAAAACATTTATTTTATTGATTTTTTATAATTTTCAACGAAAGTCTTTGGATTGGCCTTCGTTATCGATAGATTATTCTTACATGTAGTTTATCTTAAATTATCATTAGTTACTTGTATAAATTATAGAACTTAGCAATTAATTTATCTATCATATTATTCATTGGGTCAACAGGACCAATGTGGAAAGTAGTTTTTTGTACCTGATGATTAATGCTACCCTGTAAAATATATAACTACAAGTAATTATAAATAAATAAATAAAGCTCTTAGGCTATACATTTAATAAATTTTGGAAAGTATAAAGGATTTCTATCGTTTAAAGCCCATCTGTACTAGTGTACAGGAGGGATTAGACCACCCTGCAAGGTCACTGGACAGGTGATTATCTCATCAAATTAGCTCTTAATTAACATAAGAAGAAGAGGATCATGGGGGACCAATATGGTAATCGATTATGCATTGTTTGTTATATAGAGGGCGCAAGTAGCTATAAGTAGTGCAGTGGGGCTTTAAGTTTCACCTCTTTGAACTCATCCACCAGGACATCTCTGGGCTTGGCATCCCACACCAGGTAGATGCCTCCCCAGTTCTCCGCCCAGAAAGGCGTCTTATATTCCAGCCAGATCTTCCCCGCAGTACCGAACCCCATGCGCGAGATCAGGTCCAGTTTGGGGGTCGGAAGTGGGGGACAGAACATGGTGCGGGCGTTCTCCTTGAGGTAACCAAGTGAGGTGGTGTTGATCACGTAGTCCGCCTCAAACTTGTCTCCATCTGTGCAGGTTATGGTGATCGGCTTACCTTTTGAATTATCTGAGTAATACAAAGACAAATGTCAAGTTACTGTTACAACGCGAAAAAGTTCACAGGGGTTGTCTCAAAGCATTGTGCTTTTGAAACACATCCAATCATTTGTTTTGATTTAGTCTTTGTTATGAAGCTAAAAAAAAATATTTAAAAAAGCTAAGTACATGTACCTCTGATATTAATGAATCATTAAACCACAGAAGTGTACTAGTGTTCATTGCTGTCAATAGTGGAACAAAAACATAATGTATTTCCTGTATACACCAGTTGACACATTTTGGAAATACGTTTGTCACCTTCAGCCAAGCTTTTAAAAAGTTTGGTGACTTTTGTTTCGCTAATAAAGTTTGTTGACCTTCAATAAATCTTTTCTACAATGCTTCATGAAGAACAATGAGCTGTATTTTCCAATATAACAAACTAATACAAAAAAATAACATCCACCAAGGTTATTTAATCACTGATAAAAGGTCAACTGATTGTTTGAGTTGACTAGGATATCAATACTCCAATGTTGTTCTGATTTTATCTTCATAAAGAGCAAACTTCCTAAAACTGCAATGCAATTTCCCCCAACATAATGTATACCTGCTGCAAGACAAAGATCCCAAATTCACATGCCAGATTTTTCTTCACATGAAATCAGCCAGATTTTGGTCTATACATACTGTACATGGAAGCTTTCAATTGATATTTTGACAATTGATCATACAATGTAAATTGCAAATATATTTATTTGCTGAATCCTGAAGAGAAAAATATAGTTAAATATAATTCTAGATGATGAATTCTCAAAATATATATTTTTTGAATATACCGTACATGTAAATATACATGTATGTATACATACAATGTGTATTACATGTAGCTCTTGAAAACTCTGTAAGCTAGCACTATAATGAAATAAAATCAAAGAAAATACATGATCTCACTTATTAAAGGGATCCGGTAACTTTGTCTCAGATTCTGAAACAAAATTCTGGATTTAGCTCATGATGCAATGATAATTATAAACCTTTAGGTCAGTCAGGAACCCCATGACTTTTACAAGCCGATCGCCTGTCTGATTATCAAGATATTTATGATTGGAATTACAAATTTTGAAAACCGTTCGCCTGACGGTTTTCATAACACTACAGTCTATTGGGGAAAACGAGTATGGTAAAACCGGTCACTCCAAGATTTTTACTTTTTTGAGGCACTTCTTGATCATTTTGAAGCGCAATTTTTTTAGGGCTTCAATATTACACCATATCACAGACACGGTAACATGTAGAACCGTGTATCTCAGATTTAACATTGTTAAACGATCCTTTTAAACTAGGAAATTAAAAAGATATAATTAAATGTACACATTGTACAGGCATGAATTTCACTATGACTCAGACTCTTTTGTACTTTACAAATGAATGTGGTCGCACTAATGATTTCCCAATTCAGATAAATGTGAATCAGACCATGATAATAACAACATTATTTGGTATGAAAGAAGAGTCACACATCTGGGTGTGACTGGCACTAGAAAATTCACCTTTCCTTCTAAAAAGTCAAAATAAAATAGTTGAAAATAGTGAGAAAAGACTATGTTGTTCTGGGTGTACAAAATATGAAAGGTATATATAGGCAACTTCCATTGGAAAGGGGGATGGGGTGCATTTCCATTCACCAAAATATTTGATGTGTGCATCAAAATTAGCTAACCTTTAGCCCTCGTGCTTGAACTGTATTTCAAAGAAACTGGATAAAATTGATCGCAAGACATTTGAGGAATCCACTCAAGGGCAATTTTAACACTTGTTGTCCCAGAGAAAACATTTTTTAAATATTATGTGATGCTTTACTTTGAAATGTTCGCATATTTTTTCAATACATTAATGATAGACAAGGTTATCGAAATTGCCTTAGGTTGAATTAAATCTTTGTGATTGTGTTAAAGATGTTCATGCATTTGTATATAGTTGTTTGTGAAGTAGGGAACTTGGCAATCACTACATAACACTGAGCCAACAGGTACTACGCTCCTGTGCATACGTTCGTGTGCAGCCCTCTATATACCCACGCATGAGCAACTTTAATGCAAAAGATAGTGGTTTGGAATCCACAAAATTATTTAAAAATCTTGTTTTATTCCTAAAAATGCACTCCAGACAATTTAACATACATGTTCATATACTTAATTTTTGTTTTACCCTTCTTTGCTTGTTAGTAAGCTAATACAGATTTAAAAAGAAATACATGTCGCTTTGATACATGTTACCATACATTTGTATTACTGAACAGTCAATTTACATGTAAGTTTGGTTTGCATCTGTGAAATGTAGTTTTTGAACTTTCTGTTATTACTCAACTTTAACCTATTGCCTATGGGTGCTACGTGGGTTCCTGTATTAACCTTTGGGAAACATGAGAATGTGGTATTCTAAGGGTTAAGTGATCTCACCTTCTTTGACGTGGTTCCAGGCAACCTGCTGCACTGGCTTGCTGAAGACCAGACTCTCAGGAGGGATGTTCTTCAGGAATGTCTCCACAAACTGGTTGTAGCCGTCAGCAAACGTGACATTGCCCAGGATCTCCTTGTACTCTCCAAAGTCTGCAGCATGAGATCATTAAGGTGGCTGCAGGCACTGTAGCAGCATTCGTTGATCACCTGAAGTCTGAAGACATTCGCCTTGATCTCCTTCTCCTGAGGGCTACCGACGGACAGGGCAAAGTACTTTCAAAGTAACGCTTCATGAACGCCCCCACGGTCTTGCGCCGCACCCCTTACGTTCCTCCTTGTACATCCTGCCTGGGTCTTGAGGAGGATGGTGTCGTAGAGCTCATGGACCTCGGAGAAGAGACTCTTCGGGACTTGTTTGCCGTTGCGTTGATTGATGTTGAAGGTGCGGTGGCCCCGGTTACAGCTGTTGAGCTTCAGCTGTGTGCTGACTGCTGGGCGCGCTGGTATACAGGGTTACCCTCACATCCATGGATGTACTGGGCACCGCCTTCTACTAAACCGTCAGCTGGAATAAAAAAAAGAACATTGTAGTTTATAGTAGCTACATCTCCTACATCTATTTTTTTTAACAAGAGAATGTGTAATTACTTCATCAAAGAAAACAATAACTTACAGCAATGCAATTGGAGAAATTTAAGAAAGTCAACAACACTTGAAAATAGTGCCATTTGGTTCAGATCCAAGCGCTAGCTACGCATAACAGGTCAGAACAACCAACAAGAAGGAGTAGCAATGAAGAAGAAGAAGACAAAGAAGAACTAAAATAAGGGTCTAGTTTTTGAAAGCTAAAAAAAGGCTTGGGAAAATTGAATAGCTGCCCTTGAAAATACCATATAGGGTCTACAAATTACATGATCACATTAACAATGTACATCATCACAAAAGAAATCTATATCATCCTTTTTCTTTCTTTCTTTTTGGTTTTAGTTTTACGGAGAACAAATTTCATGCTAATTTTTAATGCTGTCTTTAATTTATCGGAAACAAAATTACAAAGGTAAAATGAATCAGAACTCTGTGTGATTGTAACAGTATTATTTCTCACCAAACTGCAAAGTAACAGCGCGTCCACCAGGTCTATCCATCGCTTCTAAAACAGTCACTTCGATGTCAACATCCTCGCTCTCCTTGCTGCGTAACATCAGGGCTTCAGCAGCACTCAGCCCCGCCAGCCCTGCGCCGATGATACATACTCGTATGGACGTTCGGGACAGACGAAGATAGCTGCGTTTTCTTCAATAGGCTGTGCAATTTCGCGAACTGACAGCCGAGGCTTGGGTATCCTCTCCAATTCTTCCATATTTCAATAAGCCTAGAAGTCACTTCTCAATTACTTTCATTGGTGTGGACCGCTGAGCGGTACAAGATCTATGGTAAAGTGACAGATTTTCAGAAGGACTTATAGTAATTGAGAAATGTCACAGTTACAGGCGACAGTCCGGCGACAGTCACGGTAAACATTGCCGCACATACGATCAGCTGTCTCGAACCGCTTTGTTTACAACACTGCGGTGCGTTTGACAGGAAGTTGCGCAATCAAAATTCGCGTTCTCCAGTACTGAAAATACGCATTTTTAGTCCTGTGGCCTAATTCAGCGTTTGTATGGCGCAATCAGTAAATTTAGACAGTTATCGACAACAACTTTTTTTTTTAAAGTTTTTTTTATTTATTTTTATTTAGATCTATTAAAACATAAAAATCAACCACAATTTGAAAAATCGCACCCCCCCTCTTGAGCGCCAGGGGAGGGGGGCCCATCTCCAAAAATAAATAGAAGGGGGGGGGGGGGGGGGGACTCCAATTGTGTGCTCCATTGTGCGTCTGTTGAGGTCGGAATTGTAAACACTCCTCGTTTATCCAGACTACTTGCAAAAAGTATATAATGCAACTTCTTCTTCTTCTCTTCTTCTTCTTCTTCTTCTTCTTCTTCTTTAGTTCCCTTTCTTCTTTGTGTCTCTGTCTTCTTCTTCATCTTCCTTCTCTTCTTCTTTTCTTCTTCTTCTTCTTCTTCTCTTCTTCTTTCCTCTTCTTCCTTTCTTCCTTTTCTTCTATTTCTTTCATTTTCCCTTCTTCTCTTCTTCTCCTTTTTCTTCTTCTCCTCCTCCTCCTTCTTCTTTTTATTATGATTGTTTTGTTATTATTTTTGTCACTGTTATTATTATTATTACTAATGAAATCATGATCGCCACCATTATTATCGTTAATAATGATTAATGAAAGAATTGGACCACTTGTTTATAGCGAAATAAGTCACTGGAGAGCCGCTAGGAGAGTCGCGAGATATCCATAATGTAAAACAGTTTATACAATTAATTATGTTTCATAAAATATCAGGGGTATTGACAAGAGACTAGTAATTGGGGAATTCCCACTTCATGCTCCATTTTCGGATTACTTATTGACGTAGTTCACTTGATCGTTGTACTCGTTTAGGCAGTCACTAGAAACAGATTGTCGAGCCAGGCCATGGCATGTAACCTTAAGTTTACAATCCTTACTTTCTTTGATTTGGGAGTATATTAACTGAGGTAAGATTATGCTCTTTTTCCAGGTTACAATACGGAGGGACAAGAAGGAGGGAGAGAGAGAGAGAGAGAGAGAGAGAGAGAGAGAGAGAGAGAAAAAGAGCTAAGAGCGATGGGAGAGAAATAGAGAGAGATACAATGTACGTGTATAGGGGTAGTCTATATTTCTTCTTCAATCATATCTATTTCCACCTCCCTTACACACACTGGCGTACTGATGGGGGGGGGGGGCGGGGGGAGTTGCACCCAAATAAAATTCAAACGTGGATTATTTCTAATTCGATACCAGTGATATACAAATGTGCTGAAATGATTGATTTTCCGTTACACACACCCCACACAGGTCGCGCCACTCCCGGGTAAATACACCCAGTGAATGTACTAGCTGTCTCGGTTTGGCGCTGAGGGGTGTGTTATTTTCTTAGGTATTTGGATGGGCGCGACACGAAAACAGTCCAGTCAGTGGTAGCAGGCGCGTAGCCACGGGGGGGGCCACGGGGGGGGGGGGGGGGGGCACGTGCCCCCCTAAAATTTCCAGGATCGGTTGAAATTTTGTAGACCCTTTTTTTGACCTCGATCGATTACATGTATGTGCCCCCCCAAACATCAAACTCTGGCTACGCGCCTGAGTGGTAGAGAGAGAAAAATTGAGAGAGAGAGAGAGAGAGAGAGAGAGAGAGGAAAAAAGGGGGGGGGGGGGGGGCTCGTCAATTTGAGAAAGTGGGGGTAGAGAGGTGGTAGACAGATAACATGAGAACAGGGGGGCGTTTCATGAAACAATTAGTCGGTGGGTTTCACTGACTAATATCGTGTTCACCGACAATTTAGTCAGCGCTGACTAAATTTGACCAATCACAGTCCTAGAAAATAGTCGGTGACAAAAGAATTGTCGGTGAACATGACATTAGTCGGTGAAAACCACCGACTAATTGTTCATAAAAACACCCCAGGTTCATTGATTTTAGTGCACCGTTGGGAACACTGGATCTTGACGAATGATATGGGGGAAATCATCACTTCGGGTTGTTTGAAATTCATAGGTGTGGTTTTGCTGGTGAAATTGCACACAATACAGCTATGGAAAAGGAACTGCAGGCAGATTTTCTCCTATTTATTTCAAATGAAAATAACCTTGAATATTAAACCAACCGCAATGAAAATAAAAGATTTCATTTCTGTCATATTTGTCAAGGTATCACATAATGATATAATCTCTCTCTCTCTCTCTCTCTTCTGTCACCCGCTCTATTTTAATCTTGTCCTCCTATTTCCCCCTTTCGTTTTAAGAATATCCCCCCCCCCCGCATTCCTGTCACAATTTTCAATACCTCTGTCCCAGACTCTAATTTCTCTTCTCCTGTCTATCGCTCATGCCCCCAGCAGCCTGATTTTCCCTCTCTCAGAAATGACTATATAGACCTTCTAGAGGCCTAGACGATCTAGGTATTGGACCAAATGGTATTAAAACCCTCCCCTTGTGAAAATCGAAATAACCACAAAAATTAAGACATATATCTAGGGGGAGGGTCCCAACACGATGTAGTTTATAATTATTTTCATCTCCAAAGGGGGGGGGGGGGGGATTGGTGGCCATTTTGACCGAATCTTCGAGTAAATCGGGGGTAGTCCAATTATTATAGCCCGAAGAGGGTCTCTTCCTTTCGATATATTAATATACATGTATACATGTAATCCCTTTCAAGTATTCCTACTACAAGTCATGTATCATCTTTCCTAATCAATAATCTATTTTCATTCAGGTAGTGATGGCGGAAGTAGTTTTGAGTGATGGCCTTCTGATTGCCCTTTCCAAGCAAATCAATATAGCGATTTATCCAATCAACCATTTTGCCGTCGCTGGGCTTCGATTCCGCCGCCGCCAGCGGAGCGGAGCAGCTGGCAAATCTGAAACAGCATCCGCATGCAAAATACGAGCATCTTCTACAGGAGTTTGTTGTCCGTCACGGCCGGGGGGAGAAAGCTGCTAAATATCTCATCTATTGCTTCGGAAAGAAGAGGTTCCTTGTCGACATTCTTGAAGAAGGTGCGTCTGAAACTTTCTCTCTTTCAGAATTTTGGCGAAAACTTTTAGTCACTACTTTCTCAGCCACCAACATATTGCAAACTTAGGTAACACTGCGGTAGTGAGGTGATTGACAATCATATTAAAATGTTCACGGTAATCAATATAATGTTTGAATTATATTATAATATTATAGCTCAACTTTCTATATATTTTTGAAATTTTTATATCAATAAATTGTAATCAATATGCTAATATTTAATGATAGCTATGACGGCGGCGATGACAATGATTACGATGATGATGATAAAAATAATGATTGAAATCATTTTGCATACCAAATTGTTGTTCTGATGTTTTATGAATATAAACTGAAGTATATTACATTTACCTCTCAGGGATTGCAGCCCTGTTGATCAATTGGCATGCAATCTATTAGCCATTCATCATTAAATGATCAATAGGTATATTCATAATGGATACATCATCTTCATTATTCTTGATATATACGCAGCCATCAAAAAACAAAAACGCCCCGAAACTGTCTAGACTTGGACAAGAGCCTAAACCTACAGAGGGACAGGGGCAGACTGGGACTGAAATTCGCCCCTTAAATGCTGGTGCGAGTGCCCGGAACAAATCATTTGGGAAATCTGTAGCAGGTGAAATTTAATCACGAGATTTTATTTCTTTAATTTCAGCAAGTTTGGTTTGGTTTCATGTGTTAAATATATGTCATTGAAAATAGATAAATACATAATGAATAAAAATGCAAATTAAGAAAATGAAAATAAAGGAAAAAAATATGCAATGTAATTAGTAGTAATTAGTCCTAAGTGGTGATACCAGCAATACTTTTTCCAAGTTTGTATCAATACCTGCCCTCTCCCACAAAAAAAAGAAGAATACCCTCTCAATAACACCAAATAACGATTTTGACAGCACATCCTATTAGGAAAAGTTGAATTTGCTTGCTTTTTTCTTTCACCGACTATAATTTATATGTGATTTATTGACTTGCAAGTTTTTATTTTTGACTGCAGGTCTTAGCTGCTTGGTTGTAGCTCTCGTGTCTATTGTGGTGGCTTGCAATTGGAATAATATATTCCCTGGTAAGCTGATATTATTATAACACTACAATTCCTCTTGTTTTGATTAATCTTGTCATGGGTAAAGGACATACGTCCTTGAGAAAGATTTATCTGTGCTCCTTCCCCACCAAGGTGTTACATGGGTACCCAGTAGCAGTGGCGGATCCATGAGGGGGGGGGCAACTCTGGGAAAAAACGGTAAAAACACGTTAGTGTTACCTTTATTTGGAGACGAGCCCCTCCCCTGGTGCTCAAGGGGGGGGGGGGGTCACGATTTGTAAATTTCGAGGGAAAAAAAATAATTATTGCTCAATGACCCCCCCCCCCCCCCCCCCCCCCCCCCCCCCCCACTGAGCGAAGTATCGGCCGGCGCGATTTGCAACTTTCCGGGGGCCAAACAAAAATATTGCTCCTTACCCCCCCCCCCCCCCCCCCCCGGAGACACTAGTACCATAGCGATGAAGTTGCAATATAAAATGAAATCTTTATCATTAATTTGTGTGTATTTATTACAGAATACATAGCAGAAAACTTCAGCCTTGAAGACTGTCAAGACACATTACGGAGACACTATAAGACACATCTATTTAAAATTCAAATCAAGCCGTGGGATCACAACCATGACGTGGACCTAGAGAAGCTTTACACGACCGTCAGCCTCTACAAAGTAGACAAGAATAATATTCCAGACAACCCTTTACAGAAGTTAACTTTAAACGGATCAGCCAACGATATATTCCAGACTAAAGTTCGTGGATCGTTGCCAGAAAGAATTGTGTTGTTTGGGGAGGCTGGCAGGGGAAAAACTACAGCTATAGCGAAAATGGCGTACGATTGGGCCAATAAAAAGAAGACTCCCCTTTAAAGAACGTGAAGTTGCTTTTTGTCTTCAAGATGAGAAACATGAATGCCAAGACAGGAATAGCCGAAGCCATTGCTCCGTTGTTGGAGAAGAAATACAAGAAGTATAAAAAAGAGCTCGAAGATTATATTGATTCACATGGGAAGGATATTGTCATGCTCTTCGACGGTTATGATGAATTTAGTGGAAAGATACGTTGCAGGGAAAACGTAGGTGACGTCATTGATATATTGTGTCAGAAGAGTTGTAGTCAATGTCGGGTCTTGGTAACGTCTCGCCCCGTAAGAAGAGAAGACTTCTATGGCATAAATGTATACTACGCTAGTATGGTAATAGAAGGATATTCTCAACAGCACGCCACAGATTTCATCGACAAATTCTTTCTTTCCAATGAAACAAAAGGAACCGAGCTGAAGAAGCATTTGGAAGAAGACATCGTTACAAACGAAATGATCGCCACGCCCCTTTTCTGTACTATGGTGTGTTATTTGTGGAATGAAGGACATATTTATGGTAAATTCACCCGAACAAAATTGTTTGACGAAATCATGGAGTTCTCGAGGACACACCTGAATGCCAAGGATGAGCGAGATAGAGAGATCAAGCAAGATCTACTCAACGACATAGTTGTTTCGGTCGGGCTAGTTGCCTTTACGAAATTAAGCGACAAGAATGATCTGAATCCTCTGCTGTTCAAAGAAGACAATTTTAGTGAAGTTCATGATGATAAAGTAAACATAAGCTATTCACTTGGTCTGTTAACAAAGAACATGAAGACGGAGAGTGACATCATCATCTACATTGAATTCTTCCACAAGTTAGCGCAGGAGTATTCAGCAGGAAGATATCTCGCAAGTGGCCTCGATAAAGGAAGAGTCAGCACCATTGGCTTTGCAGAAGTAGTCTTTGACCTAAAAGAGATCTTCCAGTTTGCATCAGGGACATCGGTTTTCGCGTGCCAAAAGATTTTGGCATCTCTCATTGATCAAAATTCCAGTGCCAGTTTCTCCAACAGGGATTACCTTTACCATCCCATCATCTTAGATTTCATCAGCGAGGGCGAAACTTGTGCAGAGAATTCTGAAACGTACTTGACACGTTTTTTTAAAGATGGAAAACTTCAACTGCGACAAGTTACAGCATCGACTGTGGTTGGATTTGAGAAACTGCCAGAATTTGTTAAGAAGAAGGTAATATAATAAAGAGGGGAGGAGGGAAGGAGAGAGACACAAGTAGAGGGGGGAATGGGAGGAGAGGGAAAGAAGGGATCAAACGGGGAGATAAAAGGAGAGAGATGGGGGAGAAGGGAAGAGTGAAGGGAAAGAAGAGAATGGGTGCGGATCAAAAGTTTATCATGGCCTAGCATGGTCGGCGTTGTCCAAGTTTCTAAATTGAACGAAATAAATACAAAACTCGCATGAAAAAGTCATTGAGTATTGTAATTTCGAAGAAAACTATTCCAATTTCTAAAAAAAAAAAGAGAGTGAATTTTCACTCTATTTTCACTTTCTTGGGAGTGACGTCAGGGCTCTCTTGTTAAAGGCCCGGTCACACAGCCTTTCGCGTCTGTATCGCGGGTAAAATTTCGCGATTTTTTTTTTTGCCCGCGGTTGCCCGTGGTGGAAAATGTGCAAAATTGGCTTACCCGCGGTTTACCCGTGGTATGCCCGCGGAACAGACGCCGGCGACTGTTCCGCGTCCTTATCGCGGGGTGAAGCGCGGCGGTACCGCGGCCTACCACGCTTACACGCGGTACACACGCTAATGCACGTGATAACAACGCGGTACAGACGCGGAACAAACGTGCTATGACCGTGCTCCACCCGCGATTACCCGCTAAAATTTCGCGTCCAATTCCGCGTGTAACCACGTCTTAACCGCGGCCGTAGCACGTCCTAGCACGTTCGTTCCGGGTCTGTACCGCGTCTTTACCGCGTGTGTACCACGCGTACCACGTGTACCGCCCGCGATTACCCGCGGTCTAAATTTTTGGGCAGCCCAAAACTTTTTCGCGCGGCCAACCGCGTGTGAATTTCTTACCGCGTGTAACGACGGGTAAAGTACGGCTGTATCGCGTCTTTATCGCGACCTCAAAGCGTCCAACAGCGTCTGCTTCACGGGCAGAAATTTTTGGCCGTGATTCGGCCGCGATACGCCCGTGGAGGGCTGTGTGACCGGGCCTTAAAGGAGTGAATATCAATTGATTTTCGAGTGCTCTTTAAGAAGAAAAGAGTGAATGTTCACTCTATTTTCAATACATCTTTACTCTCCAGAGGAATGACATCAGTGATCACTCAATTTTTTTAGAGAGGTGGTAGTATCGATATTTGAAAGTTCTCATGATAAGAACTGTTATAAGAATTACATTGTTATTTCTGCGAATAATGTCGTGTTCGACAATGTCATTATATTGCAACTATTTTGATATCTTTAAGAAAGATAACTGGGAATTTGTGGACAGTGTTCTATACGGAAGACACAATCAAAGTTTATCTTGAGATAACAACTGCCTTTTTTGTTGAAGAAATGACACTGTATTTTTACACGTTAAAGTTTGGAATTGGGAAACAGACTATTTACAGCAGTACATAGAAATTCTTTAAAAATGTTTCCAACCATTATACAAAAATCCGGTCAGGATATGCTCAAGGAAACTTATGAATAACATTTTCACTGTTACCATTGTTATGTAGATCACAACCATTGACATCTCTGGAACGACCGATTCTCCAGACTTATTTGTGAGACTATGGAACAGCATGCATACTTGTATCCACCTCACACATTTGGAGATGTATCGCCATGTTCCACCGGCCATCTCGCCTCAGATGGAGCCCCTGTACTCTGTCAACAGCTTCACCACTGCTCTACAGCCACCTGCAGATGACTACGCGCAAATCATGATGTTCCTTCCGAACATCAGGGAGCTCATCATATACTGCGATGTAAGACTTGGTGTCGCACAATTTGCTTGATGTTATATGCATAGTTTCGTATCATTCATTCATCATTGATATAATACAAATAACATAAACCGAAAGTTTTTGTAGTTTGCTCAGCATTGTGAGCATCTGTAAAATGGCGCCGGGCTGGAATGCTCCCTATGGAGTGGAGAATGTGCATACTATTTCAATGTTGATTATTCAACAGTCAAGGTCGTCCTTCTGTATTGAAGTGTGATTGATTGGCAGGAAAACCCTTTGGTATGCAGTATCATAATCCATCTGCATTGAATCTCTTTTCAGAACTTTGGAGATCTGTCAGAATTTGCCCTTATGACTGATGTTTTGGGAAGCTATGGGATCAATTTAATACTTCGTCCCTACTTAGTCGGCTAGTTCTCCCCATCCCTGCCGACATCGGGTTTAATCTGAAGCACCTCACATCGATCCGTGTTTTTGAGACTGACCATGTGATATCAGTAAGCAGCCTCGCACATGTTTTAACCTTTCTGCCAAAGGTTAGGGAGCTGATTATTCAAGAGAAAGTAAGTAGCGCTTTAAATATACATGTATCTGCTCACAATGATTTGGGTAGGGAGGGGGGGGGGGGGGGGGGGGGGCTGACAAAATGATAACTCTAACAGTTGCTCCTCCCCCATCAAATAATACTGGATCTGCCGTAGCATCATAGATCTATATTGTCTCTATAAAATAAATTTCTTATCATACATGTTTTAAACACTAGATCGATATAAACCCTGTATACTATTCAGACAACTAAATCTTTATTGTACGTGATTATTGTCATTATTATTTTTAAATTTAGTATCATTAATGTTCTTCCTATTAATAATCATCATTATTTTTATTAGTAGTATTTAGTATTACTAATAGTAGTCGTAATATTATTATCTTTATTTTCACTATCATCATCAACACCATCATCATCATTATCATTATAGTTCTTATTACTATATCACATTACTATCATTATTGTTATCATTAATATCAAGTTGAATCCGATGATATATTAATATGGATATTGCGTGTTTTAGGGGGATTAGGTTTAGGGCCTATGGTTCCTTGGACCAAGTGGACAAATCTTCTTCGTCACCCCAGTCACTGTTTCTTGTTTGTTCGATTGTTTCTTTGTTGTCTGTTTGATTTACAGGAACTTGTTGAACTTGACAACAACACTGAAGCCTTCTGTGAGCTGTGGAAAAACCTCCATACCTCACCAGATCTCAACCAGCTTCTTCTTCCTATACCGGCGTACCGAAGGATCCCGTGTGACTTAGAGCCACTTCGATCGGTCCAGATCTTCGAAACAAAATCATCTTCCATCCACCTCCCCATCATCTTGATCAACCTGCCGAAGTTACAAAAGCTTCTTTTACACTCCGATGTAAGTGGGCTTTAACTTTGCAAATTAAGTTTGTTTCTTGTTTAAATGGTTCTACCTCAAATATGACTATGGGCTATCCATTTATTTCATGACACATAATTATAATTTTGGTAGTGCTTGTTATCTTTATGTTCTTGTATGGCATTGTTATTACATGATATAGAAACAGTTATTTTTTTTGACATGCGTTTCTCTATCAAAGAAACAGAGGCCATTAAACACTTTCATACATTTTGTTTAACGTATTTTCCCTGAAAGCGCCACTTCCTAACCGGATGCGTCACTTTTGCCCCCGTCTTCGAAACTATTTTTCCAGAAGAGAACCGCACATGAAAATAAATTAAACATGATATACGCTCTCTAAGAATAAGAAGGCATCTACATTCAGGGATATAGAGCGATAGAAATAGGGTGGGATCGACACCTCCCCATTCTTAAGAGTATAATTGTCGTTAAAAATTACCATTTTAGAGCATGTGGCGGCAAATTACCAAAGAAAAACTGACCTTATTTTTTCTATTTTTGAAATTAAGATTTTTGGCGAACGTGTCAACAAATTGGATTCAATACCTGCGTCTGTAAATGCTCTTGTTCACTTTTCCTGTCATTTAGATACCTGGATATCCAGAGGTGGACGTCAAAAGGGCACATAAGTTTTTTGTCGACTTTTGGAATGTCCTCCATCATCTCCGTGAGCTGTGTCATTTAAAAATGAATGCTCCTAAATCCATTCCTGCGTTACATCTAGAGCCCCTCCGATCTGTGCAGACCTTCCAGACAAAAATCAAATCTCAAATGGACGTCTTTCCAAAACTGCTTTCCCAGTTACCAAATATTTCAGAACTTGACGTATTTGCCACAAACAACTATGACAGGAAGATAGCAGAGGATACTTACTACGATAAGGTCGTTTCGGTCATAATTAAGGGATTGGTGAAGAAAGTTGTCCAACTGAAAGTTCTCAATATGACATTTGACCCAAGAAGGGACGCAAGCAAGTCTGTGTCACGTGACACTGTTAAAACTTTATCCTAATGTTGAAGACGAGTAGCATGATGCGGCAACTCGAAATCATCAGTTTTAACTACTGTGTGTTCAACGAATCCGACTTGATAGAAATCATCACATCCATCAGAGAATTTACGTCTATTATGCTTTTGAGGTGAGTTTATAATAGGGTATTCACATTCAATACCCATTTTTGTACAGAATTACATATTTTATTGGATTGATATTTTTCTCAAATACGTAAAATCTGATTTTCAAATGTAATCAAATTTTTTGATTATGCGTACATGTCCCTTTAGTATTGGTTGATTTATTACAGTGTATATGCTTACATTATGAATGGACGTAATTATAAATAGTTTGAACCTAATCAAAACGAGTTCATTATTAGGATTCCCATTTCAATTATATTTTAAGTGTTACCTAAGTGAGGTATAATGTATTTTTCGCCTGTTTAAAACTATCACTCAAGAAAATATCCGTCCTCAGTCATGTACTCAGAAAGTATTTAAGCAACGAAGTCGATATCTTATAAGTTTCGATGTAAATATTTGTGTAACTTAATTATAGAACATAATACATTCCTGTCCTTCTTTTCCTTCCTTCTATTTCTATTCTAATCAGGATTGATTGTAGTTTGGATTATGAAGGAGAGCTTTCTCGTTTCGCCATCCAGCGATATCAAACACAAGACGAGAATCAAGACCCTAATCAGAGCAAACATAGCGGGTCGCTAATGCTGACATTAATCTACAGGGATCCAGAGGTAATTTCTGATAGTGTTTGGGAAGATAGAAGGACAAAAATAAAAGAGAAGAGAAAGATCTATTTCGTGAAATGTGTTCCTTTTTCCTATGTCAAACTAAATGACTTTTCTATCATTGTTTAATAATGTGACATGTAAATTATAAATTCGATGTAATTGGATATTTAAATGAATTTAATCATGTTAGGACGGGATGGAAATAAGCCATATTTTACCTTAGACCATAGCTCTATCCCTCCTTCTCTACTCCCTTACTTTCTCAGTTTCTATTATTACTAGTAGTAGTATAATAGTATTAGGCTATTCTGAATTATTCATGACTTTTGATACTGGTCTTTCTTTTTCAGACAAATGTAAAGACTGAGGAAACTTTCGTTTTACCCCGTTCGTAGTAACCAACAGAAGCGGTATAGGAGAGAATTTTTGTTTACAGAAGATTCGAGTTTGCTCATTCTGTCAGGTCTGTAGAGAGACCAAAAAAAATCAATCTGTTTCGTTCCGGGATGATGTTCTGCTGAGACAACGTCTGACTTCATAATGTCTCCTTGGAGGAGCGCATCAAAACATGATCGAAAGACGCCTTCAAGCAGACGGATTTTTCTGTCCAATTCTTTAGATTTTTCTGCTTTGGTCCTACTTGCTAAAGTGTGTGCAATTCGGTAGACCTAAGATGCTTAACCACTCATCTGTAACCGAAGGTCCAGTAAATCGAAAATTCTTAATTAGATGGATGAAGCTATATATAGTCTCATGAAAATTAATTTTGACTCGTTGTCAAAAGATTTACCACGAGACCAAAATCGTCGCTGTTATATATGTTTTGATTGTTTGTTTGTTAGTTGTTGTTGTTGTTGTTGTTTTTTTTTTGGGGGGGGGGGGGGGTGGCTAGGGTGGTGAGCTCCCCTCTAGAATACTGTCTTAAAACTCCAACTGGTTATCGGGTTAGCCCGTGAGACCGTCTTGGTTCTCGATAGCCTTTAGTCTGTTTGGTCTACGCCTTGTAGACCCAGGAACCTTTACTCTAGCTATTCATCATTCGGCAACTTAGAATGTCCCGGACTGAAGCCTGCATTGTCATGATTGTGTATACAGTACAGTATGGTTCCTCTGTGGCCCTAGACGAGAGAAAAGACAAACTCTCTCATGCAGGGCCTATTTTTTTCCTACTAATATCAGGTTGGTTTTATTCACCTTCCTTTCGCAATTCTAGATTTGGGAATCACTAAAGACTAAATGCATGATGATGCTTCAGAAATGTTGTACATGCGCGCAAAAGGTGCCGAAAGCCTATCCTGTTTAGTTACGATAAATCTTACTTGCACTAATATATTGATCAGTACTAAATTTTGATAATTCGAAATGCAATTTTGATATGATCTGTATATTATTAACAATATATGTATTCAGAATGTATTCAAATATCATTAAACAACGACCTGCATGTGTATGGTTCGGTTATCTGACATGTTATTCAAGGATCACTGCTATTAATTTACATACTTTAGGATTCTGTTCATTGCCAAACGATGCAACAATTAATTCGAATTCTTGTATTCATAATTTAATTGATTCCTTTACAGTAGTTTCTTAGATTAAATGTTTATATCACTTGTATATATATTTCTTTAGTAGAACTTACCAATCATCATGATAATTTAGTTTTTAATCGTTATAGTTGTAAGTTTTGTGTATGTTTTCATCATATTTGTATTAGTTTTAAGCTGTAAATATTGCCTATCATCTGCCAAAACACACATAAACACGTTTTGCATTTTGTCACATGCACTGAGTTTAGTACTTCTTGTGTACTACAGTTGCAACTAAACGTATAATTTTATTTTTTCTGAAAATGTTACCATTTAATAACATTTTTCATTGTTCATACAATGCCTTATCATTCGGTATTAAGCTGGATAATAAAACAAGGACAAATTCCTGTATTTATTACATTTGAATTGCGATAAGTCAGATAATTTGGGAGTTCTGAGTGTTTTTAACATTACGGATGGGTAGATGTAGAAGTGATTAACTGTATTATTAAAAAAAAAAAACATTAATAAATAATCGTAATCCTTCTTCGATATGTTGATATTTGGAGGGCGCTCGGCCGGCGTCTTTTTTTGCCGAGCGGCCATTTCGGAGAAAAGGCCCTCCTCCTTTTTATTAATCTCCTTTCTATTAATCAAAAAGAAAGGACGCTAAATATGTATTTTGGGGGCCTAAGATACTGTCAGTGCTAAACGTACGGTTATGCTACGAAAAGAACAAAATGAAGAGAAAATATAGAAACGTATTGAAGTTTTCATATTACTGAAATGCAACAATAAAGAATCTACTCCCTCCAAAGCAATACAAATTAAATCAAAATGTATTCAAGCTTGCTAACCATATTAAACTAAACGTGCTAACCCTATTGATAAATAATGGAGCCTTGGCTAGCTTTTCATGGTTTACTCACTTTATTAATCGTGTTTTTCAATTCCTTGCAGTAAATTTAAAGTGTATCAATCACTAAAGCATACATTACTTTATGTAAGCGGTTTCAAAGGCTTTAACTGTATTCAAAATAAAAGCTTCCAATTTTACAAAGAGATATTGCAATTTTCCTACATTCTAAGTGAGAAGAAAACCATTTTGAGTGAACTAGTTAATACCCCCTCCCACTTTTCAAGTACCCTTTTTTTTTTTTACATAGGAAAGGTTCGTCCTCTTACTCCAAAAAGGTTCTTAAAAGGTGCCGTTCAACATTCCTATAAGAGCCTCTTACCACCGCTGATACGAGCCCTCTGAATTCACCTAGGATAATTGCCCCCCCCCCCGTTCAAATCTGACAGGTGTCCATTTTATATTAACAAGTGTCCGTTTTTTGTAATAAATGCCCCTTCCCCTTCTGATAAGTGCCCCCTTAATTTATTTTAACACGTGCCCCCTTTTTTCATCCTAATAAGTGCCCTTTTTTCTTCTGAAAAATGCCCCTTCTGACACCTCTGTTAGATTCCTCTATTAAAATCTCAAAGGTGCCCATTTTAGTGCCCTTATTCATTCTCACAAGTGCCCCTAGTTATCTCGGGTGAGTGCCTCTTATCTGTCCAAGTACAAAAAGTGCCCATTTAGGCCAAGAGCATTAGGTCAAAATAGGCTTAAACCTGGACATTTTCCATAACAAGCTCATTTTTTCAGGATAGCTCAGGGAGTATGTCTAAAATAACATACTAAAAG